ACCCATGGCCAAAAATGGGAAAAAACTTTGTCAACAACCAAAAAAAAAAAAAAGTATCTTTCATTAAAAAAAAAAAAAAAAAAAAATAAAAATAACAAAACAATCGGCAATGACAATTGTATGTATAGACCGTGTGATGTTGTGCATTATGTGGATGTTGATGATGATTTTGTTGTCATGTTATTATTGTTCACAATAATGAAAAATAATGATCGGCATTATAGAAATTTTTTTTCACTCTTTTCTTTCCTGTTAGTTCTGTAAATTCTGGTTCTGGTTGACGGTTATATCATTCGACTGTGTGTATTTCATCAATAATCACACTTTAAAGAAAAAAAGTCTTTTTCAAAGTTTGATTAAACTTTTTTGATATATATTTTTTCTTATTATTAATATTTTGTTGTTAGTATCAAAGTGAAAAAAACGAAAAATTAAACCAATAAATTCTTGGGAATTTTTAGGAAAACAATGTGTTAGGGAGAGAGAGAAAAAAAAAGAAAAATGACGATAATAATAATAGAAAGGATAGAAAAAAAAGATGATTAATAGAAATTTTCTGGCTTTAAAGCAATTGTGACAATTTAGCTGTTGTTGTTGCTGTTGTTATTGTTCAGGTGCACATACATTGCTTCATCCGGGGAATATAAAACCGGAAAAAACCTGAATGAATGAATTGAATGAAACAGAAAAAAATAGTAAAACGAAAATTTCTATTCAATCTTTCAAATCGACTGATCGACTTTGACGGAAACATCATTAATCGAATATATCGTACTTAACAGAGACAACAAACGTGGAAAAAACATTGTGAATGAAAATGACATTGGTTTAAGTCCGTTTTTTTGTTTTTGTTTTTGTTTTTTGGTTGAATGAATAAACAAATAAGTTGTCCATAGATCGAAAATATATTGTAATATTGTTGAGAGAGGAAGAAAGATCACGAAAATACCACAAGCTTGAAACATTAATAAATCACAATCATTGTACACGTTTTCCGATTTTGTATTCAAATTTTTATGTGTATGTCGTTGTTGTTTTTGTTGTTAATGTTGTTTGTTTATTCATTTTAGCATTTTACCCGCTCGATTTTGGATTTAAATCATAGACTATAGAAGAGAATACAGAAGCTATTGGCCATTGAAATGTTTGTCTACAATACCAATGCATTGTCGGAATACTGATGTTCAAACATCAAAACAAAAACGAAAAAGAAAAAAAATGAACAAATTGGATATGAAGAATAAAAGAAAAGAAATCAATTCATCATTCACAAACAAACAAATTGGTTTGAATGAAATGAATGAATGAATGAATTCTGACATGTAATTCAAGGCTGAATAGATGAATAGATGAATAACTATAATACAATCAAAAGAATGAATTAACAAATAATTCGATCATTATTATTATTGTCAATTGAGAAAATATGGTCAAATATTCATTCATTCATATATGATTATTAAAGTGGTTTTATTCAATACAAAATACATTAAATAATAATAATAATAATAATAAATGATCGAGAATCCTATACATTAAATAATTAACTATAGTTTATTTTCAATGATGATCATATCCAACGGCCAATTATTATTATCATCATCATCATCATCATTTACAAACAAATAACATCAATGGTTGACAATAGAAATAAGATTATATTGAATGAATTCTTCAATGATTAATAGACTTACCTTTTTTTAACCATACTAAGTGTCTAATTTAAATGATTGTCATTGATTGGATCAAAATAGATTAAATAAATAGACCAAAAAAAAACTTGATCGTAATTAACAATGATGTATATAATGAGTATATTTGTAAGTAAATGTTATTTATTTACTTGTCATAGTAATGAATAGATGTTACAACAACTATCATCAAATGTTTGTTTTTTAATTCATATAGGAAAAATTTATCCGATGAAATTTGTATCCTATTTGATGATAAAACGGAATAAGAACAAAACGAAATGAAATTCCAAACTCGTCGTATGTCGTTTTTTTATTGACCACACAAATAGAAATGAAATAAAATAAAAAATTCCACGAATCAAGTATGAATACAAATCAAATTGGATAGAATAAAAACAACAAGAAAAAAACAAGAAATGTTAAAATTCCAACAGAATAATAATGGACAAATAAATAAATAAGTATTTGTTGATAAACGTACACGAAAAAAAGACACATTTCAAATGAAAATCAAACCACATTGTGATGTAAAAAAATAAGGAATGTGAAAACCCTGTCAACAACTACAAAAAAGTATGAATAAAAAAATAAAATGAAACTAGAAAATGCACAATTTATTTCATTTGTTTTTTTTTGTATTTTGTTATTTTACTTCAATTTGTAGATGAATAAATGGATAAATTGATGTATAAAATCAATATATAATCGACGATTGTGTTTTGAAAACGAATATTCTACCCAAATATCTGATTTGTCCATCATCATCATGTCATATGAAGAAATGACAGGCAGCTTTAACCATGAAAGCTTTAATGATAGTCCATAATGACCAGAATCTATTGAAAAAAAAAGAAGAAAAAAATATTAAGTGAATGGGCGTATTAAAGTGAAACTTTTTGTTACATAAAAAAAAAGAAAAAAGATTCGATTGATTTTGTTTGAATGCGTGTGTGTGTGTGAGGGATTTAGTGATAGAATCAAGAATAAGAAAAAGATTTGAACAGTAATACAAAAAGAGTTGAATGAACGCAAGCGGAATGGAATGTGTTTCAAAAATAGTGAACAGGAAAAAAAATTGGGAAAAAATTACTCAAAAATGCTTAACATCATGATCATCATCACCAGAAAATTTTTTTGTCTAGATGATGATCATTGATCATTTGATGATTATATTGAATGAAGAAAAAAAAACAATAACGAAGTTTGTAGTCTTTCCCTGCCCTTATCAGTTCTCCGTCCAGCTCTCTATTTAAGTCTGGACAGCTGAAATGATAAGGAAACGAAGAGACTTTTTTCTTGTTTGTTTTGTTTTTTTTTCTTAAAGCTCAAATTCGTGATTAAGATGATGATTACGATGATGTTGGTCGATGGTCATCTACAATCGAATATTGTTTGAAAATTTGTAACATTAGTTAAATAAATGTTATAAAATGAAACAAACACACACACACATACACATTTATATACACAAACACATTTACAAAACATTATCTTGATGATCGTTAAAAATCATTTTCATTTCTATTATGTTTTAGCTGTTGATGATTATAATGATGACGATTATGATAATGATAATGGTGACCACAGAATTGTTTTTGTAAAGCAAATTTGATTAAGTTTTTAACATTTTAAAATTCTTTATTCTATACAGAACAAAAAGCTAATTCAAGTTAATCATGCATAATATGAAACAAAAAATTTAGCCCGAAATTGAATTATATCCATTACAATTTCATGTGTTTAAATAGTCAAAATATATGTGATATGTTTACACATTTTGACAATGAAAAAAATAACAAATATCAAAATAAGATGATTTTTTTGTTGGTTATCTTATGATTCTTACTATTTATTTTATAAAATAAAAAACTACCACTGCTGTTGTCATTATTCTTGTTGTTGTTGTTATTTTTATTATTGGCAATAATACAGATTCTGATTCGGAATTCTTGAATTCTGGATCTTAGTATATGTACTTGGATTCTTGTGTTTGTATGTATGTAGTCGCCTTCAGTGAAAAAGAGAAAGAGGATTCGTTGATTTAAAAAAAAAACAATGTTCTCGGGAACTTCTCACACTTCTTGGTTTTTTTTTGTTTTGTTTCTTGGTTAATAATGATAGATACAAATCTTTTTATATAGTAGTAATACAACAATGACTGATTACAGAGATAGGAAAAAAATGCATTCATATAACAGATAGCTTAGTTTTTAACATTGGAAAAATTGAAAGAAAAAAAATATTATTATTATTATTATTATGGAATTGATATTGAAAAAAAACTAGGACTGATTTTAGGAAAGAAGATGGACAGATTTAGTAGTGTCTGTGTGGGTATGAATTTTTCAAGTATGAAATTGAACACATCACATTTGAAAATGAAAATAAAAGCAGACAAAACTATAAGAGAAAATCAAATAGAGAAAAAAAATCATAGAAGCAATTGAAACAAATCATAACGATTATCAACAAAAAAAAATGGATCAAGAATTTAATGCATGAATTCTTTCTTTTTATTTGAACAAAAAATTGAAATGTTTGAAATGCAGAAGTAACCAAAAGAAAAAAAAACGAATGAAATTGAATAAGACAAAACAAAATGAAATTTGATGCAATAGGACAGTGTTGAAATTATGTAAGCGAGTGTGAAAACAAAAACAAAAACAAAAAATTTCATAATAATGAAATGAAAATAAACAATAATTGAAAATATAGTGATAATAACAAGATGATAATAGAATAGAAAAGAAAAATCATAAACGAAATAAATCTTTTCTTCGTCTTTTTTTTAACACTAATTTTGAAAAAGATGAGTTGTGCAGACGATATTTATAATTGTCATAATTATTTCGGCATGATAAATTATTTTGGTTTCCTATCGGATTACGATTGAAATTGCAGACGTGAATATCAATAAAATGGTCGGTATATTTTTTGGGTTGATCAATTTGATGACATATTTGGGATTTGATTTAACAAAATTTTCAGGACAATTTTTTTTCTTTTGTTGTTTGTTCGAAATCAAATTCGGCGTGAGGATATTGAAAGAAAATAC